TTGCAGAGGTTGGATCTATGAAATTTTATCGGCTTGATAACTCAAAGGTTTTAGCCTGGTTAAGTTGCAAGGTATGCTCTGTCAGAATATGGTCTATTGCGGCATTTTCTACTGCAGGGTTATAATTCGCTGATATTTTCTTGATACCTTCTCCATTTGAAAGTGTCTGTCTGTATCACCACTACGTTTTATAGAGCAATATAATTGTTCACACATCGCATGAGTTTCAGGAACGAGGTTTGTATAATTAATGACTTGAGTCGTCTTAATTTCAACTCTTTTAGAGAGAAGCTAAGTTTGATGCTGCACTCTGGTTTTGTTTCACATTCTGTGTTCTTGTTCGTGTCTATGTTTGGATTTGGGGGAAAGAGGAGGCAGCTTAGTTTGTCTGTGTTATGCAGGTTTGCTGTTTAAAGAAGACTCTTCCGGAATTGGACAAGAACTATGCAGCTCAAGATGAGAAACAAACATGTAAGTTCTGCAACTGAACTTGTTTTTGATTCCAGAGATGGCGCATCTCTATGCAGTCATCATCGGTCTATTGAAGTTGACCCTTCAAGATGTAATGTGAATGTGATATGGCTCTACAGTGGTAGATGCAGTTTCGATTGTGGGAGAGTACGTGAAGACAGATCCTTGGTTGAAGCTCCTCTATGATCATCTTGGGTACTTTTTTTTTAGCCTCAAAATCCTCCGTCACTCGGCAGAAGAGAATCATAATTCCTTATCATTATGTCTGGCTTTGTTTTACAGACTGGAGTTCGTTGACCCAACGACGAAAGAAACCAATATGGAGAATCTTCCATCTCCAAATGAGAATTACATGGAACCCTCAAATTCTTTACAGGTGTGTGTATGTTTCATTGCTGAAACTGTAGATAAAGAGTGTTCTAAATTCCATATCTTTGTGTTCCTTGTTCTTGTTGACTTATGAAGCTTTTCTGGTGTATATTTGTTAGGAGAAAACAAATAAGAAGCAAGGAAAATCTGGAAAACAGACAAAGCAAGCAAAAATAGAGACTGGATCAAAGAACATAAGGGATATGTTTTCAAGAGCTTGCAAGAAAAAGTGTTGAACGGTCGATTAACCAATTATTATGATTTTAGTTTTCCAGGTTCCAGATGATCCTTAGCAACACTTTAAACATTGACAAACTYAAATGTGATTGTATCTCTAACCAGTGTTGCTTATTTGCTGAAATTTGTACAATTACTTTTGTACTAAGAACCCTTGGACATTGATTGGTGTTATGTAAGAATCCACGATCCTAGACAAGAAGGTGAAAATACATTAAAACCATTGTAAACTCACAAATATATATTATCTGTTTGTTCACCAGTGTACAATGTTTCTTAATTTGAATTTCAAATCATCTAATCATCCAATTATGAGGTTTAGTTCTGGGAACCGCTGGGGTTAAGGTTCTGGAATAGCTCGGGAAGATGGGCATTGGTGAGTTTGGTTCTCTTGCTGATCTCTTGTTTCTTCTTCTTCTTTTGCTTCGATTTACTCGGCACACCAAGCATCTGTTCAGCAGCTCTCCTCTCCGCAGTGTTGGACGCTGGCTTCAAACCGATCTTCAGCAGCTCCTTCTCCACCTCCAGCATGTCGGTCGGGACGTCTTTGTTGCGGAATAGAGCTTTAAAGTCGTCCTCAATCTTCATATCACACTTGAGATCATTTGGGTACGCAATGTCCTCTTGTGAATATAGCAACCAGATGGCTTTAGAAGCTTTTAGAGCCTGCAAAATACAAGACAATCTTCAAAACTTCCATTATCGCCTTGGTTTCAACATATATATTTTCTTGAGATCGGGTATATACCTGTAAATCCTCCAAGACATTCGGGTAAGCGTCTTTGAGATCGCTCACTGCAATTCCATCGGGATATTTTTTTATCAAGGAAAGAAGCTGCATCTTGTCTTTGACATCGTGCGTAGCCTGTGAAAGCAGAGCAGAATTGTAAACTTTGTCAAATGAAAAAAAACTAATCCACATTGAATTGAAAATGGTTTAGTTACCTTGTAAGAGAACCTTCTCCCATCAAAATAGGCTTTCGAATTGTTCCTCATACTATCAAAAACAGCCTTATTAGCACGCATATCAACATAACACGCTTCGTTTATTTGCTCTGGGGTAAACGCTTGTCTTGTCTACAAAAATAAAAGAAATCAACTCCATTATACTATGAAATAATCTATTTAGCACAAATGATGAATCAAAAACACAACAACAAACCTCAAACAGAAGTTGAATGACACGCTTCATTTGAGAACCAACAGGAGATTTCCTTATGTTATTAATCTCCGTAAGTCGTACGGTATCGTTTGAAAACCTGACAGGAGCTGTTGCAACAGGCCTCTGACTGATTGCTGCAGGCACGGACGACCTCGAAGGCCCAACCGAGGTTCTTGAAGAAGCAATGTCCGAAAGCGTAGATTGGCATTTCACTTGCTGTTTCTGAAACTTGTTTAGCTGCTCATTTAGAGCCATCTAAAACTATACAGAGAAAACGTCAAAATCCTAACCATCATCAATATTCTGAAATTTAGTAAATACAAATTCCAGAAACTACAGAAATTCGAACCTAGAAGCTAAATACGATCCCACTTCATAGAAAAGAGTAATCGACACCATCAATTTTCAGAAGATCATCGACACACATAACTTAAATCAACAAAAGTAGAGATAGGCCCGATTATGCAGAACCCTAAAAATCAGTTGCGATTTTTTCATTCCGAAACCTAAACACCACAACAAATTTCCATTTCTTCAATCTTAAAACGAAAGCAATTAGGGTTTAATCAATCCATACAAACCTTTCTTTGGAGAAAGAACCTGAAGCACAGGAGAAGAAGATCGAAGAAGAAATAGCTTTGATTTGATTGATCTGTTCTGTTCTGTTTCGATGAGAGGATTTGGGAGAGAGATTGAGAAAAGGGGGTCGGGTTTGTTAAAGCCTTATTATGCCCAATGACTATTTTTGTTTCTTACCAAAAAATCTTCTTAACCCTATTAAACCGAGCTGACGTTCACGAATCCCTTTCTCGCTCAATTTGTCAAAAAAGTTATATTTAAAAAAATAACTAAAAATCTTAAAAATATCTAATGGATAGGATTTAGCCTCGTAAAAAAAATCTATACTTAATAAGTGTGAGGTCGAAAATCCTACCTGTTATCTCCATCGTAAAAATCTAATAGATAGAAATTTTTTTCTTTTTTGTTTTTAACATCTGGTTTTATTTTATTCACAAATAAACCGATTACATGTCACAATTGTCAAATGACAACATATGTTGGATGTGCTCACGAGGAGAGTTGTATATACAACAAGAGTGATATTGAGAGTGTCCTATGTGAGATAATTTATACGCTATTATCTTCCAGTCTCCTTAAAAAATCCATCCATTGAAAACCGCGGTACCAAGCTAATTGCATTGCATGAAGGATGAACTCTTTTTTAGAGTTTCGAACGATCCATTCTGATCTAGTTTCTGACTGGAAACTCGCATCATGGTTACATTTCAACCATCCGAAGGGAGGAGGTGACCAAACTTGTGAGTGGTGATAATGGTGCATGCCTTTGTTGTGTAGGTGAAGAATGGCTAGTATGAGAAGTTGTTGTTTCCCATTCGTTTACTTCAAGTTGTACAATGTCACTTGGGTTCCATTGAAGATCATATAAAACAAAGAAAAAGAAAGAGAACCGTAAATATAAAAGAAATTCCTCGAAATTAATCATAAAATCACTAATTTTAGTGGGCTTAAGGAGCCCAACCATCATCAATATACTCCCATCGATTAAGCCCTAAAAAAAAAAAAATCAAAAGCTTATTTTTATTCGATCGTCTTCTCCAGAGAGAAAGGGTTTCTTGGATCATCTTCTTCGATTTCTGGTGTTTTTTTTTTCTCCAGAGAAAGGTTTGAATCGATTCTAATTGCTTTCGTTCTAAGATTGACGAAATGGAGAACTTGTTGTGGTGTTTAGGTTTCGGAACCTATCGAAAAATCGCAATTGATTTTTAGGGTTATACAGAATCGGGCCTTGTCGATGTTTATGTAGCTGTATTTGAACGAATCCTGATTGCTTCTTGGTTATTCATATGAATCTGATGGCTTCTTGGTTATTCCTATGAAATTTTGTTCATCAAATTTACGAAGTTTTAGTAGTCTCTGCACTCAGAATATTGAAGGTTAGGATTTACGCTTTGTTGTCTTTTTGACCTCTGTTAGTTTACTTATACCGTGATTGCTCTGTCTATTTGAAAAGTAGCCTTCTGTATCAATGCAGAGTTTGTATCGAACACAAACCTAATACTGGTTCCTCGACTGGTATAGGTTAGTATCTGCCTTGTTAACCCCATGGAAAAATCAGTCACTGTGCAGAGAACCGTTGTGCTCGAGCCATTTATCAAGTAACACTCTTTACCATCTACCGTTTTTTTATCTCTATCCAACCACACATACATATAACGACACTTTTTGTCCAAAATCTTCG